TTTATGGAGCGGAATATGTTTCCCTTCATGTGAGGAAGAGTAACAGGGCTGCTTTCAAGTTATATACTGAGACTTTGGGGTACAAGATCCATGATATTGAGGCTAAGTACTACGCGGATGGTGAGGATGCTTATGATATGAGGAAGCAGCTTAAAGGGAAGCAAATTCATGGCACTGGGCACCACCACCACCACCACCATCATCATCACCACCATCACCACGGGCACGGGCACGGGCATCAACATGGTGGTGGGTGTTGTTCTGGTGGTGATTCTGGGAGTGTTGCTGAGATAAAAGCAGAGTCTAAGGCCAATGCATCGAAATCAGACTCTAAGGTTAATGAGAAATCTGGATGAGGTGGGGGCTATTTTTTGGTTTTGGTTTTTTGAGAAGTGGTACTTTTAATGGATAAATTGTTTGTGTTTTGAATTTATAAATTCTGCATTGTGGATATACTATACTGTTTGCGAGTACTTATCCGATGCAGTTGTTGATTTATACCCTGCCTGAGAAACTACATTGGCTTTTAGTGCGCTATGAATCTATTAGAATCTGTTTTGTGCTTTCCATCTTGATTATGTGATAGTTCTATCTGTGTTTTGTGCATCTCTATAGTTAACTGGGTTCTTATAAGTTGCAGACCTCTTGGTTGTCTCTGGATTTTGGGTTGTCTTTTCCTCTCTAGTGGGCATGTTTCTGGTCGTGCCACCCAAAAGTCTTCCTAATTCTATTAGGAATTATTTGGATGGTGACAAACACTTCAATTACTCTTGGATAAGTTATGTCTTCGGTAATTTGGATGCTTCTTGATTCTTTATAGTATATCGTGAATCAAGATGTGTGTTATCTTTGAGAGAATTTATTTATTGGTTGGATGTATGTTTGATTCTTAATCTTATGATGAGCAATGGAGGGTAGTATAATGGCATAAGCAAGTAACATTCATTAACGTATGCCATTTCTATGACAGCGGAGTGGCAAAGAGTATTGTTTGGTAGTTCTTTAAACTTCTACATATTTTTTTGAGTGCAACAGAGGATTTGAACCTTCAAACTCAAGGGAAGAAAGTGTTGTTTTACTAGGTTGGCTTTAGAAAACTTCTATGCATTTACATTTTAGAGATGTACGTTCCTGACAGGAAATTAATTAAATTCCATTAGATTTCTGTTTCATTCGAGTTTGGTTGTCTTTGTATTGATTTTTCTGTTGACTGGGGGTAGTGGGAACTTTTTTGTGTCATTCTGTGCCCCCTCACAATGATCTGAAGGTTGAGAATTTTTTGGATGATTTGTTTCTACCGGATTATTAGGTATTCAGCTAGTAGTTTAGAATTTGAGAACTGGGAGATACAAATTTCTTCGCTTGAGATCTCACATTGGGAGGGAAACGAAGCATTCCTTATAACGGCATGGAAACCTCTCCTTAGTAAACGCGTTTTAGAATTGTCAGGCTGACGATGATACGTAACGGGGCCAAAGCGGACAATATTTGCTAACGATGAGCTTGAACTCTTGCAATGGTATGAGAGTTAGACATTAGGTAGTGTGCCAGTGAGGACGTTGGCCCTCAAGAGGGGTGGATTGTAAGATTCCACATCGGTTGGAGAGGGGAACGAAGCATTCTGTGGAGTGGAAACCTCTCCTTGGTAGACGCGTTTCAAAAACTGTGAGACTGACGATGATACGTAACGGGTCAAAACGAGCAATATCTACTAGTGGTAGGTTTAGACTTTTACATTGAACATGCTCTAAGTATTTTGTGAACCTTTTTTATTCGCTCACCAAAGAAGTATATGGTTACGTGAAACACATACTCGGAAAATACTGTTCCGTACCATTCTATGGAATGATAAGATGATAGCCTTCTATAATCACTTTTGGAATTTCCTAATCCTTCAATTGGGTAGGGATCCCTTGACCTCCCTCCCATTTTCCCCCTTCCAGATCATTGAGTTGTCATGGACAGGTTTTTTTGAGTTGAACCAAACATTTGAGATTAGAGGGACTTGAGAACTCCTCGGGTAGGTAGGTTGACTTGTGAACTCTATTATAAACAGCCCGGAGTACACACACGACACGAGCTTCTCCTGTAGTGGCAACGATCTAAACCAAACTTTTTTTTTTGAAATTGACATTTGTGAAAATTGAGATATAAAAATGTCTTTGTTTAGTCAAACATCCACTAATGGATCATTTCGCACAAACACAACCTTACGAGTTATCATCAACAGCCACTGATACCTCATTAGATTCATCATTAGATGAACAAGCAAAAGACTATTTACTATTTATTGAAGTTCGATCTCTCATGGTGACCTAAAAAGCCAATTTCTTGATTTCGGAATAAGCTAAAGTGGAATGATTAAAAAGCATGGAGAAATCTAAAGTGGAATGATTAGAAAGCATGGAGAAATCTTTTGATTACTGCATAAGCTAATTTTACAAGAGTAGAAACAAATTTTTATATATATATATTAATAACCGATTACTGCTGACAAAATTGAGAAAAGCGTTAGAAGACATAGATGGAAAAATAAAAGGGAGAGAAATAACATCACAAATAATTTCACACTATTCTCACAAAAATCTAAATCCTCCTCCTTTACTTCTTTGCTGCATTATTACTATTACCAGCAGCATCCGACGGCGTTTTCACAATACTCAGCTGCCCACCCTCCTTGTTGGCTAATGTAGCAGCCTTCGTCTCGTTGCAGTAATTGATGAACTTGCTCAATTCCTGTTTTTTCCCATAAAACTACGTATAAATTCTCCACATGAAACGGCAAAAGTAATATAAAGCTTGTGATTACAATGCACGAACAATTATCAGTACATTCTATAGATTTCCAAGCATTTCAAGGAAGAAGAATACACCCAAATATTATAGCCATTCTATACTAATTTCGACTTTAAAACAGTAAATGTGATATCCCACATTTGTTGGGGAGGAGAATGAAACACACCCTTTATAAGGGTGTGAAAACTTTTTCCTAGTAGACGTGTTTTAAAGCCTTGAGGGAAGTCCAAAAGGGAAAGCCCAAAAAGGACAATATCTGCTAGCGGTGGGCCTGAACCATTATAGGAAAACAACTTAGTATGATAAGAAATGAAATCTTCCATTAATATGACTAGTTTGAAGAGGGGTGAGACAACCAAGGAATTGCAGAATTAACTGCTCCCACATACTACGAAATTTAATATTCGTTCAAGAAAATTTATCCTTCCTCTTGAAAGGAAGAGCCTTACACAAAGAAATGTACAAGAGAAACAAAAGGCAAGCACAAACATGACCATAATTTTACGCTCGCTTATGGTCATCGATAGATAGGGAAAAGGGAAATATAGGTTTGACACTTCACCAAATGTCCCATTACCAGATAAAAGAAGAAAATCAAGACTACTTAGTTCCTCTCCTTTCAATAGCCCAAAAGCATTTCAAACCCAAAATTAGAAATCAATGATTTATTAAAACCCAAAATCACTCCTCTCTTTGGGCTTGCACAATGCTTCTTAACTTTTCAACTGTCTTTCTGTCAAACGAAAAATGGATATCCTATCTTTGCACAAGAGATCATTCCTAAAAAAGGAGAAACGTGCTTCTCAGCATTCATGCAATCCTTCCATAGGGATGCACAGTGTAAACAATAGTTGGTTGGATGATTTTCTAAATGTATTTATATGGTGAAAATTGCTACAGATACATATTTTAGAGTGAAGTTGTAGAAGCTCCCTTTCCCCTTACTTAAACTTATCAAATTTTCCTTCGCCATTAAAAGTTTCTCACAAACGGCTACCAACATAATCAAAGAGATGATACTCATCACGGTCAATGTTATGTGCATGAATACATATATGCAGCAGAAGTAGAAACAAAAAAGTCTGCAGTCACATTACAATTTCAAACAAAGATATCGCAGTAGAATCTGAAATAACTGAGAAACTAACAAGTTCAGCCAAGAGAAGAGGCCTTAAGAATCACGCACAAAATCCATTCTCGGAAATAAGAAGGCAAGAAAATTCAGAAATGTTCTCATCTAACCAAAACAATTGATGACTAATAGTTCGCCCGAATTGCAAACTAACAAGGCGATGCAACATTAAGCTAGAAATTCGTATTTGAAACATAAAAATACAAAACATCAACAAAACAACTTATCAACATAAGTTTCTACTCTCACAGTTACTAGATTCTATATAAATTACCGGACAAGCACGAAAAGATAACACATACCCGATCTGTTTCCATCTCTTTAGTTGTCTTCGATGGCTTCACAACTCTTTTCCCTGGAAAGACAACGCCCAATGAATACGGAGGAGAGAAATCTTAATTTTTACGCGTAAATTTAGCATAAGAAGGAGGGAAAGAACAGAGAGATACCTTTACGAGTTTGGGGGATTTTTCCATGGCGATTGGGAGGAATTGTTTTCCTCTTCTGTTGACCTTTGAATAGGGTTGCTTTCTGCGTCATCTTCCTCCAAAATTTTTCTGCAAAGCAGGGCTAGGGTTTATGAGATAAACCTGCGCTTCTTTCTTTTTATATGGTCTCCGCCAAAATTACAATCTTGACCATTGGAACATTTCAAAATTTTCAGTAAAAATTTAATTTTTTATCTCTAAACTTTCCTTTTTTGCCTTTTTTTTTTAATTGCTATTTTTTTTAAAAAAAAAAACGGACAATATAAACATAAATTATATCCACATATGATAAAATTTTGATCCATTTATTTTTTTTTTAATATTACAAGGGTACCTTTTAGTAATTAATTTATATTTTAATTTCAACTTAAATCATATAAATGTTTAAATAATTATTTAATGATAAATTAGACATTGAATATAAACATAAAAATAATTAAAACAATATGTTTATTGTGTTAATTATATATATCTAAACTATAAAAATTTAATATTTATTTACTAAATATTGTCATCTATTTTTGTAAGTTTAAAATTAAAATTTATCCAAAAGGAAAAGAATTTCACCGCTTTGTATTGATGACTGCACGAAACATCCAATACAGAGCCTCTCTTATCTCTTCCATTTCTATGTTGATAGACCCCAGAAACCTCTTCTTCTTCTTTGATTGACGGACTGAGCTCTTTCTTCCTCCATGGCAATGGCCGGTTATAGCCCCACTGTGCCCTCACCCCTTGCCATGGCCCGCACTTCTTCAGTACATCCTCTGGACCTTTCTTCCCTTTTCGCCGTCAGGCCCATTGCTGCCTCCTCCACCGCCCACATCTTCTCTTTATGCCACCCCTTAATTCTGCAGCGCAGGGGAGGGAGGTCTATCAATTGGGTCGACCTTAATTTTAGAAGAGAATCTAGGGTTCATTTGGTTGTGGCTGCTTTAGCGGCGGAAATTGAAGTGGCTGAGGTTGTGGATGAGAATGGAGAGGATAATGATGGATTAGCTGCTTCAATTGTCCCCAAGATTAAGAGGGGAAAGGCTGCATTGCCTCTTAAGAGGGACAGGGTAAGCTTGAGCTTATGTTCATGTATTTGGCTGTTTTTAATCTAGTTGACTGCCTTTTTGGATATGGTTTTGGTGTTTGTTTGGCCGTTAAAAATTTGTACATGCGTTCTTAGTTTGTTATTCCTCTGTTCATTGATTCTTTACTTTCTACTGTTACCATAAGGCTTATGTAAGTAGTGGAATGTTGTTCATTTTTGTTCAACATCTGGTTAAAATCTCCGTTGGATTGTTTGTTCTTCCTAGTTTCATGAACTTCTAGAAGTGATTGTTCCTATCATGTGTATTTCCAATTATGGCTTCATTAGTTAACTGTGACCCATTTGAGGTGGAAAGAAAACTCTAGCAATTGGGCGGTCTAGTTCTGTTTCTTTATTTTGTTCTTTGTAGGATCAGCTCTTATTTTCTTTGAAGTTCTATTCTTTGAGATCCTCGTTGATTGAAGAGAAGAACGAGTGTCAGCGAGGACACTGGGCCTCAAAGGAGGGGTGTATTGTGAGATTCCACATTGATTGGAGAGAGGAACGAGTGCCAACGGGGATATTGGGCCTCGAAGAGGGGTGGATTGTGGGACCCCACATCGGTTGGGTCTCAAAGGGGGGTGAATTATGAGATCTCACGTCGGTGGTAGAAGGGAACGAAACATTCTTTATAAGTATGTGGAAACCTTTCCCTAACATACGCGTTTTTAAAACCTTGAGGGAAAGCCCGGAAGGGAAAGCCGAAAGAGGACAATATTGCTAGCGGTGGGTTTGGGCCGTTACATATTTTGAACCAGACCGTAGATTTAAAAAGAGGTCCATAAATGATATGTGCATTACTTTTAGTACATATTGTAAGCTTTGTTCTTTCAAAATATGTATTTTCCACCTTCTCTTATTACTGTTGCACAGCTCTAACATGAAATTGTGTTCTGAAAACATGCAGACCAGATCGAAGAGGTTCCTGGAAATTCAAAAATTGAGGGAAAGTAAAAGGGAGTATGACCTGAAAACAGCAATATCTTTGTTGAAACAAATGTCTAAGACGAAATTCGTGGAAACCGCAGAAGCCCATTTCCGATTAAACATTGATCCCAAATATAATGATCAACAGCTAAGAGCAACAGTAAGTTTCTTTTGGTTCTACTATATCTATGTCCTAAATCACCAATTTTCACTTTTTACATAGGTAAATCTTCCCAAGGGAACTGGACAGACAGTCAAGGTAGCTGTGCTCACTCAAGGTAATCACTAAATTTAACTCAAGTAACAAGAGTTTTCAACTAGTTCTCGTTTCGTTTCGTCTTTTTACCTTGTGAAGAACAGTTGTTTCCTTATTGAGAGAGCATTGTGGAAACGATATTAACAGTTCGAAGTAGCTATTGTACGAACATGGGTATTATCGTCTTCACAGTGTTTGTGCATCTGATTGAAAGGGAGGTTTGCTTGCTTGATTGAAAACGGCTCTGTTAGTGAGATTGCTTTAACTATCATGGGGTTGTTTATATGAATTCCTCTTCATAATTTATGAGCAAATCTCCTACTTTTGTTCTTGATTTAATCTTCATAGTCCTAGGCTATTACTGATATGTCGGTTTTCTCCCTGTAACCGGTTTCGAAATAATGTGAGTGAAGAGAATGAGACGAACGCTTCAAGCTATGGCTTTTTGAATTCTTTTTTCCTTCTAGATATGGATTCTCTCTATTTATTCCCATCGTTCTTGTCAGCTATGAATTTCGAGATTCAGCTTATTTTGGTCATACGCAGCGTTGCTTTTTCAACAAAAATTTTCACTCATTTCTTATTATCATATTGCTTTGTGAATCATGTAGGTGAAAAATTCGACGAAGCGAAAAACGCAGGAGCTGATTTGGTTGGCGGTGAGGATTTGATAGAACAGATCAAAGGAGGTTTCATGGAATTTGATAAGCTAATTGCTTCACCAGATATGATGCCTAAGGTACAATTTCTTACATCTTTTTTCAATCATACACTGTGGTGGCTTTCCAAAAAGTATACGTTCCCATGTAATCTGAAATCGATCACCGAACACGTGATTCCAATTTTCTTGTATGCAACTAATAATTTTTCGTTTCATGCTTATTCGAAAAGTATTCTTGGCTACTATCTACGACCGAAATTAAGCTAAGATACGGTGTTGTGTTCATGTCAAAGATATATGTGTGAATTGTTTCGGTATACACTTTCGGAGTCGGTGTGGACTTTGAGATATTTTAGTTAGTTTTGTGGCAATGACCAATTAATCTGCTAACCCCGTCCTCTCGTTCGCATCAGGTTGCTAGTCTAGGGAAGCTTCTAGGACCTCGAGGACTGATGCCGAACCCAAAAGCTGGCACCGTTACAACAAATATACCTCAGGTATAGGTCAGATTCATCTATCTACACATGTATGCATCACAATTTGAGAATAAAATTGTTCATAATAGCTTTGTCCTGTTTCAGGCTATAGCAGAATTCAAGCAGGGAAAAGTCGAATTCCGAGCGGATAAAACCGGGATTGTTCACTTACCTTTCGGGAAGGCAGACTTTTCAGAAGATGACCTCCTGGTGAACTTGCTTGCTGCAATAGTATGTTCTTCCCTAATCTCAAATTCTCAAAAACTCCATTGGTTTCGAAGAAGTTATTAGTCTTCACCATATTGATTCCTTCACATTCATCTAACAGAAATCAGTAGAGGTAAACAAGCCAACAGGTGCTAAAGGAGTATACTGGAAGAGCGCGCATATATGCTCGTCGATGGGGCCTTCGATTCGATTAAACATAAGGGAAATGCTTGATTACAAAATCCCATCATCAAATGCTTGAAGAATTTTAGTCTACACCTGTAAATGTCTTCTTCAATTTGTTTAATGTTAGCCCTCATGGATACGCCTTTCGAATCGTCTTCAGCGGCCGAAGATTTCGTTAAGATCGTTAACAGAGTTGGTACGGTATCTCAAGAAAGAATTTGAAACTTGGAAACTGCATATTCATTTGTTTCTGAACTGATTCAAAAGTAGCTCAGAATCAATCATTTTCACCTCATCTGATTATTATTTGTTTATTTCTCATTTTTTTAGTTTGTGTTAATTTTTTGTCATGGAAAAATATGGTCGTTGATTTTTTTTTTGGACAACGTAATGGAATATAATGAGTTAAACACAGAAGAAGATTATTTTAACGTCAATTGGATAAAAATCAGTGCAAAATGCTAAGTGGAAACACAATCAAGGTCAAGTTCGGCATCCTAGGCCTTGCTAGCACATCATCACGTGTTCACTCCTTTTAGGTTTCAGCTTTTTTTGTTGGCACATCATCCGATGATGTTTGACTCAAATATTATTTGTAACAAGTCCAAATCCTGACTCAGATACTATTTGTAACAAGTCCAAACCCACTACGGACAAATATTATCTTCTTTTTGAGCTTTCCTTCCAAGTTTTTAAAATGATCTCTAGTAAAGGTTTGAAAACTTGCTTCCGATATGAAACTTTGAGTATTTAGAGATGCTTTTGTTATTCCCAATAATACGGCTCGGTAACAGATCGCTTCTTCCAAAGCACGCCCTGTTCGTTCCGCTCGCAACAATCCAATGAGTTCTCCAGGTGAAAAAACATTAGACATTCCAAACACCCGTAAAAATGTTTTATGGTCCAAATTTATTCAATTATAAAGTATAGGTTCAAAGCTTATTCAGCTTTACAATGACTTTCTAAATACATCAAAATATAAATATAATTATCTTAAGAACCCTGCCAATAGTTGTAGCATCCTTCGTTTGCTCAATATGATGGAAAGCTTTACAGATGAATTTAAGGGATAATTCAGCTATACAAAATAGAAACATAAATAAATCAGTCGTTTAGGGACTAGCAGCCATTTGATGGGAGAAAGGACATAGCTAACTTCATAGAAAGGACTCTGTAATCGAACTTTGTCTTCCTCAGCATCGCAATCCGCTAATCGTCAATCAACATCGGCTTTCTCCAACGTAGTTCATTAATGTTCCCCAGCTATCTCCATTGCTCCATGCTGCAGTACAAAAGTTTTACGAAGTGGGTTGTTGATCGTAATCGATGTTACTCGAGAATAAAGGCAATGGGAAAAGTAGAAAACCTCTCGAGGGCTGCTCGATCCAAGGACCATTCATTATATTCAGTATACTGCAGGCCCCACTATATTCCAGCTCTGGAAGTAACTTTGGAGTGAGTAGGAAGCACCTGAAATCATTATTACAAAGCAATCATTATTACAAAGCTACAATTTTTGGTTCACTGAATTTATTTCAGGAGCTATATGCAAAGAGATTTCTAAGTGTTTTTTTCTATAACAAAAATCTTTCTATATAGTCGAACATTAAAAGAAAAAAAAAACTTTTTTAATTAGTAGAAAATGAGAGACAAAGAACAGAAGAGAGAATTCAAGGAGAAGAAGAGACCAAGAACAGATGAGAGAGAATTCAATAAGAAATATTGATTAAAGGTTTTATGGATGAGAATAAAGAGAAGGAATAAATTACATTTTTCCGCGTATAGCTTTACTAAATCTTTACTAAATATCTATCATATATTTCTCTCCTATCTCCCATATATTTCTTTTTTTACGAAATATCTACCATATATATCTCTCCTTACGAAATATCTACCATATATATATCTCCTTGAAATATCTACAATATATATCTCTTTTACGAGATATCTACCATATATATCTCGGCCAGATCTTTACTATAAATAGACACGAGGCTACCTATCCCAACAGAAAGAACTAACTCACCATAGACTGCTCAACGAGAGTCTAAAAAACCATGAGGGTTGAAAAGTAATAGGTACTCACTGTGGTGTATTTGTTTGGCTGGCAGCTCTCACTAACTGCTGGAACATCTTCCGTTCATTTATGGGATCCATTCCTATCAAAAGACAATAGGCAAAATTATTTAACATAACTTGTTTGTGCCAGTAGAAGAAATTCGTATAGTTACTTACCTTGGTTTATCTCGTCAACTACTCTAAATGGGCAGTTGGTAAGGTCTTGAAGGGAAACAAGATACAAGATTGTCGACACCGAGCGTTCCTAGCAAATAAAAAATCAAAAGCATTATGAAACAGTTACCTCATACTAATCAAGAAAAGAAGATTGCGACGAGCTATAATACCCCTCCCGACTGATGATGCGCACTGAGAACCTGAAGCTGACCTGCTTGTCTGTTAATGGCATTTCAAGAAATAAGAAATCTAATAAGTAAACATAGCAACAATATTATCATAAATATGTAGAGACTGAACAGAGGAATTGAGGGCAACAATAGACTGGAAAGTCTACTGAAAGGTAAATGCACAAAATACTCGATTGTAGTATACAACTCCTAGCAATACGGCCACCATTCCTGATATGCACTCAGTATACTGCCATTTAATCAAACCTAAACACAAAAATTCAAGTTGAACCGAAATATCTTGTATTACATATCATTTTTGGTTTCCAGTGAGGTTCCTTGTCCAAAAAGGAAAACTTTCCTTTATTTTTCTACTCTTCAGGAATCGGGATTGAATGAATGTATTGCTTTTCTATTAGTTCCGTTCTCGCAACTTTTGATATGACATGTCAAACATTTGGAACAAGATGCTTCTTTTAGGTAAGATTGGGTGGATAGTAACGATATCCAGTAATTTGGAAGTTCATAACAATGTATTGGAATACTTGCAAAAGAACGAATTTTCAGGCAGTAAGATTGAGTCATGTTGAACCTAGAAATGAAGTGAAAAGTTGAAGACCGCCAATACTTAAATTCAGAATGATACAACAAGGTAAGACCATAATACTTGAAAATCATTCAAAAAGGATACAAAGTGAAATGTCTTGGTAACTATTCCGGAAGTAACAATGATTTGAAAATATATCTTAATCAACCAATGCCAGTGATATGACAGTCTCTATAATTCAGATACATTTGACCAAAAACAGTATTCAAGCACAAAAAATATACATATATTTAGATCTTAAAGTGGGTATCAAAAACTAAGTTCACCTGAACTTCACTTTAATAAGAATCCCATATTGATCGAAGTCCATATCATGCTCATCTAAGAGGGAAAAAAACCATCGCAAGGAAATTAAGAATAAGGAAGACGGGACCCCACAGGAAGTAAATTTTCAGATCATTAAAATTCAGTACCCAATAACACTTCTCCAGCAACAGCCATCTCTTGAAAATTGCGACTAAAAGTCTCATTTATCTGAGAAACAAGTTTTCTTAAAGTTGGGAGCCAATTTCCCTGCAAATAATATTTGTAATATTACCATGATAGTTCACAAATAATTAAAAAGCATCGGGAAATATGCATATCACATGACTGCTTGCTGAACCACAAAGGAAGTAACCGAACCATAAACACACTCTCGCTACCACCAGCACACATACAATGACAAAAAAAAGGTTCCAAAGCTATGTATGGGAGAAACGTTTTTTCTTTCATTGAATGGTGAGGAAACCCTCACATTTATACAAGATATTTCTCAATCAACCTCAAGCTGGATGGTAGATACTAGTGTCATTACATGCTTGAAAATTAATCCACCCTGCTATCCCGGTTAGAAAGAAAAGTAGACCCTTTCGGAGCAGACTCCACTTCAACCGCAGCAACTTTAAAGAGCCTCAGGCTAAACAGCAGGTTCAAAGATTGGTCGATGAAAAGCCTTAGTGAATTTCAGAAACTAGTTGTTGGGAAGCAAATATCTCAAATCCGTTTGTATTTGTCTCAATCTTCTTAAGGATGAAGTGACGATTTATCTCAGCATGTTTCATTCGAAGATGATGTATCACATTTCTTATAATGGCTATGCAGATAGATTATCACAAGTACTTCAATAGTACCTTCGACCTTGAGTTCAGTGAGAAGGAATTTTAGCCAATTCCTTCATAAATCCCATGGGTTAATGATCCTCGGCTTCAGAACTACTTTGGGGTACAACTTATTGCTTCTTGATGAGCCAGGTTACTAAGTTTTCCCATACAAAAGAACAATATCCTGCGTTGGCTTGTGATCAACAGGAGATCCAACACAATCTGCATCAGTGTAAACTTCTAGAGATTGGTTTGTAGTCTTGTTGAAAATGAGGCCCTTTCTGGGATCATGCTTGAGACATCTTAATATTCTATACACACCTTCCATATGATCCTTAGAGGGTTTGTTCAAAAATTGACTCACCATGCTATCAGCAAAGCTAATGTCCGGTCAATTGTGAGTCAAGTATATTAGCTTTTCGACTAGTCATTGATACCTGCCTTGATCAACTAGCTCATCTTCAGGATTAACTCCAAGTTTTGAGTTCACGTCCATAGGTATATCACTTGTTTGCAACCATTCATCCCAGTTTCTCTTAAGAGATCTATAGTGTATTTTCATTGAGTGACATAAATCCTTTGCTAGATCTTGCAACTTCCATTGCTAGCAAGTATCCTGGATTTTCCAAGTCTTTGATCTCAAGTCTCTTTGAGAGGAGATGTTAATCATTTTGTCAAGAACATGTCCTGTGAGAACAATATCATCCACATGTACTATTAACACAGCAAGTATATGTACAACAAATTTTTGGTTAAGTGGTGGTTGGTTTTTCAGAGAGCAGCATTGCCCCTAGTTTCTCGTTCTAAATTGCCAGTATTTGGCTTCCAACATTCTGGTTTTCCATGTATTTTTCAAGTAGTGTCTTTAACATGTCCCAGTTTATGACTATGATCACACCATGGCCTTCTTTTGCACAGCCGACTATCACCAGATGATTGATAGTTTCTTCGAAAAGCAAGAATAATTGGATCATTTAATTGGTCTAGATTAACCAGCTCATAACTTGATTGTCGTGCAATGGTATATAATCATATAATCCAAACAAGTATAACATAAACTTAGCTATTACACAAAATGAAATGATCTATACCTTCAGCTCATCAACTTCAGCCATACACTTCCTTAGTTCATGTTTATCAGCTTCTAGTTTTCGTGCAATGGTATTTATCTGTAATGGAACAGCATAAACATACTAAGCAT